GGACGCGGCCCGGGCGCGCTGTGCGCGGGGCCGGCTGGGTCCGGGGCGCCGATCCGGTGAACTTGCACTCGCGTCCCGGCTGCCTGCTGGCGCCCGCCTGGTAGTTCCTATGACAGTGGCTGTCAGAGGCTGGTAGAGGGATCAGAGGTAACTTGCAAGGTTCTCGCAGCCTGGGCTTCAGCCCCTAGGGCTTTGAGTGCCTGGAACTATAGCTGGTGCTATTTAATAACTTGGAATATTGCAGCAAGCTGAGCATCGTTTTGTTGACGTGTGAAACGTGCATGTGTGTATGTGCGCGGAGGGTGCCACTCATTTAAGTTTCAGACTGTGGCTTTTAAGTTGATAAATTGGCAGACTAGATGAAGGGTGTCCTAGGATGCTGTGGTCAGTGGCCCCCAGATTTAACAAGTGGAGACCCTTAGATGCCTTGTATTTCTTAGGTTCTAAATTCCATTTCGGCAGTGCTGCCAGAGTGCTGTCCAGAATACAAATGAGATCCCACCCATAGCCCACGTCTGATGTTCCTATCTTTTTAAAAAAATATTCCCGTTGCACTCGTTGGTTAGAGGCTAACCATCTAAACTTAAGCAGCATGGTTTCCTTTGGGAGCTAGTTTTTCTTCTGCCACCCTGCCGTACTCATCGGCAGCCATGCTGAGCTACCTGCCTTTTCCAGAACATTTAAAGCTATTCAGGCCTCAATGCATGCTGTTTCCGAGTGTCTTTCACTCCCTGGTCCACCAGTAAAACGCTTTTTACTTAAAGATTCAGTGTCTTGCTCTAGGGAACCCATGTTATCTGCTTTTATAATCCTATCATATTTCCCTGTTTCTCAACTTGTTTTGTAATTGCCTGTGTGTATGTCTCTTCCCCTCACCAGGAGACAGACTGATTATATTTGTCTTCTATAACCTAGGATGGGGCCAAATATAATAGGCACCCAAGAAATATTTGTTCAATGAATGAATGAACAAACTGATAATCCACTACCATAATAGCTATTTATTGACTCCCCCCGCCCCCGACCCGGTACTGAAAATTGAAGTCAGGGGTGCTTTACCACTGACTTGCATCCCCAGTCGTGTTTGTTTGTTTGTTAGTTTATTTAATTTTGAGACAGACACTTGCTGAGTTGCCCATAGTGGCCTTGAGCTTCCTGCCTCAGCCTCCGGAGTAGCTGGGATAACAGGCATATGTCACTACACCCAGCTTGACTTCACTTTTTGGGTTTTTAAAATGTCCAGTTTTTTCGAGTGCTTGATTTCACCGGTACTTCTAAGGTGGGAACTGTGAAGTAGTGTTCCTTCGTTCCTTCATCATTATCCTGAAAGTAGACCACCAGCAGAATACTTTGCTGGCTTTTGCTTGTTTTCCTTCAGGCTGTGTTCCGTGGTCCATGAGTGTAATGTTACCATAATAGGTAGGCTTAATTATATTTTTGCTACCAAGTTGCCCAAATAAGGACAGCTGTTGATTGACAGATGCCAAAACATCCCCTAAATACATAGTTACCTTCCATGCCTTACACCTAGAACCAGAATGTGTGCTGGCACTTCAAGTAACTAGGTGTTCGAAAGTCACCAGAGGATCATTGTAGTTCTCTAACGTGTTCGTGACAGGGCCATAATTGGTGTCTCACTGCCAGGTGGTGGTACACGCATGACTGTCCCATCCGGTGGTACCGCCAGATGGGACGATCATTCGTGTACCTCTGGTGGTTCAAGCTGGTGAGACTTGTTCATGTGAGCCTTATTCCTCACTACCCAATTTCTCTAGTCAGTTTTGCTGATTTTAATGCAATTGTCAGGTTTATTATTCCTCATGGTGATTTGGAGCATTTCTTAAAATGCTAATTTAGATACACTATTAAGTAGACAGACATTTTAAGATTCTTTTATTCATACTGTTTTTATTTTAAAATTGAATTCTCTAACCTCATGGTACAACTATGCAGTCTTATATTTCACCCTCTAATTTTTTATTTTATTTTGTTTTATTTTTTTGACAGGGTCTCACTAGGTAGCAAAGAGTAAGGTAAAGGACATACATTCGTGGATGGTGGGTTTCAGGCTAGGGTTACTTCGCAGAGAAGATGAGAGTTGAGTTGAGCTATGAAATGCGGTTGTATAAAGGTCAAGAGAACTGTATATTAAAGAACAGTGTAAGATACAATGTGCAAGTGAGACTGAAAGTACCCCTTAAGGTGACCAGCTCCACCCGGGGAGGTAGTTCCTTAGATGTTCAAGCAAAATATTCAGGAGTGAAATTAGGTTGTGGAAAGAATTAAAAGCTTTATGAAAGAAGTAAGATGTGGTAGAAAACATTGTGTACTCCTGCCAGATATGGCACACAGCTGTAATTCTAGCACTCGGGAGGTTGAGGCAGGAGGATCGTGAGTTTGAGGCCAGCCTGGCCTATGTAGCAAGATCCTGTCTCAAACAAAACAAGTAAACAAACAACACACTGCGTATTCATAAGTAGGAGAATACTGTGGAGAAAGTGGTATTTTAAGGAGATGGTATTGCAGTGAAATCTAAGGGAGACTGTGGTGAGCAACAGGGTTTGAGACTACATAGCGTCCCCTCACATCCACAGTTACGCTTACTAAAGTTCTAGCTACCTGTAGTCAAAGTGATTTGAAAATATTAAATGGAATTACTAGAAATAAACAATCCATATCTTTTAGATAACTTATTAGCGATATTGTAATTGTTCTATTTTAAAATTATTTATTGTTAACCCCTTACTGTGCCTATTTCACACATTAAACTCCATCATAAAGATGTTATGTATAGGGGAAGAAACAGTGTATGTGGAGTTCAGCCCCGTCTGAGGCTCCAGGCGTTACTGAAGGCTTGGAAATGTGTCCCCTATGCAGAAGGGGGGGCCGCTGAGTTCTGAAGTAACGATCGTAGATGCAGAGTAAGAAACATCGGAACTCCATGGCAAGAAAAAGGGAAGGTGGGCGGCACCAGAGGTTGAGGGATCGAGACCGAAGAGTACATGGAGGAATTTGAGATGATTCTGTTTTTTTGTACTGAGAGAGTGATAATAATATAGGAATGGAAGAGTTGAAATGCGTATCTGTGTTTAGTAAGGAAAATGAATAGTGTTTATTTTATTACAGTACTGGCAGTTAAGCCCAGTGCCTTTGCATTGTGCTTCATCCCCAGCCATTTTTTATTTATTTAGGTATGGGAATCAAACTCATGACCTTGCACTTGCCAGGCAGGCTCTGTGCCACTGAGCTATATCACCGGCCCTCCTTTTTTATTTCTGAGACAGACTTGGTAAGTTACTGAGTTTCCCAGGACGGCCACAAACTTATGCTCCTCCTGCCTCAGCCTCTCAAATGCTGGAATTACACAGGCGTGCTACCATGCCTGTGTTTTGTAGAAATTTAAAAAGATGCAGGAGCCTCAAGTTCTGCTAAGGATAGCCCTAAGAAAAATGCATTTGTTTTGTTTTGCTTTTTTGAGACAGGGTCTCCCTATGTAGTTCAGGCTGGTTTTGAACTCACTACGTAGCTCAGGCTGGCCCCAAACTGGCAGTGATCCACCTGCCTCAGCCTCCCAAGTGCGGGGATGATAGGTGTGTGCCACCATACCTGGCTTTGGTAAAGAAAATCTCATTGTATGTAGCTTTTACTCTGTTCGTTTGTCTGTTTTATGTGGCATCTTCTAATTACACTTGAAAATTTATATCGAAATTACCTTTAGGATCTAAGTCCTTCCTTGTAAATATTACTGGATTTAAGAAAAGGGATTCTGTAGTACAATAACAGATGTTTATTTGAGTACCCATCATGTGTCGGCCACTTTTAACGGTTCCAGAGATGCATTAGTGAGTAACAGGAAATGTAACGGACATTTACTTACTCAGCATAGCACACTAGCTGTGTAATGAGGAAAGTAATAGTAGTAACATTTGTTGGCATGCACTTTGTGTCAGCCACGGTTGCAGACTTTTTTCAGCAGTGGTGCTGGGGAATGAACCCAAGCCCTTCCTACGGAGCTACATCCCCAGCCCCTTTTAGTAATCAGCTCTCCAGTATTTAACATGTTGTTCTGCTCATAATCCGTTAAAGTCTTCCTGTATTTGGCTCAGAGCTGCATATTTGCTGAATGTTTTTTTAAAAAAATGCTCCTATTAACACTTATTAAGCAATCTTTAAAATTTTTAAAGTATTTTGATATGTTAAAACTTTTTTTCTTCAGTAACTGTTTGCTCTTGCCTTTCAGACGGCCGAACAGACCCGATTTTGGACGATGTTGGTGAAGCTTTCCAGCTTATGGGCGTTAATCTTCATGAGCTAGAAGACTACATCCACAACATTGAGCCTGTCACCTTCCCACATCAGATCCCTGCGTTCCCTGTGAGCAAGAACAATGTCCTCCAGTTTCCGCAGCCTGGAAGTAAAGATGCAGAGGAGAGAAAAGAATACATTCCGGACTACTTGCCACCCATTGTGTCTTCTCAAGAAGGTTTGCGATCAATTTTTCCTCATATATTAATGATTATTTCAGTGGAATTTTAATCTTTTTACCGTTCTGTGCTTTGCCAACATATAAATTCTAGAAATGCAATCCAAACCAACAAACTTAAACTGGCATTACCAGGCAGAACCATAGTATGATCAGGGTTATACTGTTTTCAATAAGGGAAGACAATCAAAATGTGATTGCAAAAAGAAACCTTTCAATAGATGAAAATAGGATAGTGGCTAAATTAGAAAACCAGTGAAAGCTGGGTGTGGTGGGGTATGCCTATAATCCCAGCACTCCAGTGCCTGGGAGGCTGAGGCAGGAGGATCACTTGTGAGTTTGAGGCCAACCTGGGCTACATAGTGAGGTCAAGGCCAGCCTGAACTACATAGTGAGACTCTGTCTCAAAAGCAAACAAACAAAAAAGAAAACTTTTGAAATGAAAAGTTGGGGTAATTCTTTTCCTCCCTTCTTATTACCATAATGTGAGTTGGACACTTTACGGTGTGCTGGGAGTGGTTGTGAGCATGCTGTAGTAGTGTGCAGACTTAGCGTGCTATTTGAAATGATGAGTAGCAGTGTTTGTTGTTCGGTCATTTGAAACTGTTGAGTATAAAACAATAGTTAGCTAGGCACAATCATCAGTCCCATTGCGTAGTTGAGTTCTCGCTGCATGACTTTACATGTTGGTCATTAAGTTCACCAAGATTCTAAACGTAGTTAAATAATTTGTAGGCTCTAAATAATGACAAGAAATACTTTTTTATAAAATAGAAAATTGTAAATCATTTCTTTTGAGTTTTTTAAAGTCTAAAGCCAGTGGTATACTCCAGGATGATATAAATGACCCAGAAGTAAACCTTGTTTATGATTTTTTTTTTAATTGTGGTAAAAGGTACATAAGATAAAATTACATATTTTAATCATTTTTAGGTTACAGTTCTGTGGCATTAACTTTGTCCATGGTATTCTACAACCTTCACAACCGTCCATCTCCAAAACTTGTATCTTTCTAAATCTGTGCCCGTTAAACATAAATCACCATTTCCCACTTCTCCCAGGCCCTGGAAGCTACCATTCATTTTCTGTCACTGAAATATCTACTCTTACAGCTGAGATCATACAGAATTTGTCTGTTTTTGGTTTTTGTTGTTATTGTCATTTTCATTTTTTGAGGCAGGGTCTCAGTATGTTGTTCATGCTGGACTTAAACTCACTACGTGGCCCATCCGGCCTTGAACTCACAGCCTTCTGCCTCAGCAGTGGCAAACAGTCCTTAGTGGCTGGCATTACAGGACTGCACCACGCTGCCTGGTGTGGAATTGGTCTGTTTGTGATGGCCTATTTCACCCAGTGTAGGGTCATCAAGGCTCAGCCGTATTGTGTCATGTGTCAGGACTGATTCCTTTTCAAGGTAGAATGGTGTGACATTATATGTATATTGCACATTTGTTTATTTCTTTTGCCTGTCAAAGGACTCTTATTGTTTCTACCTCTTAGCTCTTATGAATAGTGATGCTTTGAACAATGATATATAAATAATTTGTGCATGTCCCCACTTTCAGTTTTTCTGGGTTTACACCCAGAAGTAGGTTATACATTAATTCTCTGGTTTGTTTGTTTGTTTGGGTGCTGGTTATTGAACCTCGGGCATGTGCTGAGCACATGCTCTGCCCTGGAGCTCCACCCTCAGGCTTGTGTCTGAGCTTTGGAGCGCACCAGCCTGCTTTCCACAGCAGCTGCACCATGTTACCTTTCTACGGACCATGCCTTACGGTTTCTTGCAGTACACTTCTTACAGTCTCTTGTTCACTTTCCTGGTGGTTCGAAGTGTTACCTGTTTGATTCATGCAATCTGTTTAAAGTTGGAGTAAGTTGTTTTATAGTGTATGTCTCCTTGTCATCTCACCTGAAAAACCGGGCCAGCTCGACCTAAGTCGTAGGGCTTTATTATGGGTAGGGGGAGTGTCATTGGGTCCTGGCAGTGTACTGAAACGAATCACGAATCATTGTGTCCACACTTGGCTATATAGAAAGGTTTACTGTAACCTTTTGGAAAATTATTGTTTTCTAGTTTGAGCCCCTTGGGAAAGGCTTTGCTCAATAGCATAGCACTTCCCCATTTCAAAGTTTTGGCAATTAACGCTGACTAAAACCAGGGATCAGTATCAGCAGGGCCTTGGATGGCTCTTTTTTTTTTTTTTTTTTTGGTTTTTCTCTGGTACCGGGGACCGAACTCACGACCTTGCGCTTGCCGGGCAGGCGCTTTTGCCGCTGAGCTAAATCCCCAGCCCCTCGGATGGCTCTTTGAACAAGGTGCACCTTCAGCACGTTGTTTTTTTTGTTTTTTTGTTTTTTTTTGTACCAGGAATCGAACTAAGACCTTGCGCTTGCCAGGCAGGCGCTGTGCCACTGAGCTAAATCCCCAGCCCCTTAGCACATGTTCTTGAACTGAGTTATACGCTGTTGGTGTGGCCTCACATGTAGAAGTTCCTTGTTACTCCTTTAATCCAGGTTTGCCTCAGTCTCCAGCTTCCTTCAGGAACTCCTTAGCCTCCCCCTCCTTTGAATGTATTTGTATTTACAGCATAGCTGTTATTATTTTTCAGGAAACCTGACTGTTTCTATTTTCCTATGTAAAGTTCTTTTTTTTTTTTTTTTGGTACGGGGAATCGAACTCAGGACCTTGCGCTTGCCAGGCAGGTGCTTGTGCCACTCAGCTATCTTCCTAGCCCCGTAAAGTTCTTTTTAACCACCCCATTGCCATATGTAACATGTGATTCAAAAATACAGCACATGTTTAAATTTTTAAAAATTCTATTAGTAAGAGACACGTTGCCATTACCCTCCAGACGCGCTTGTCTCATCATTGCTGCTGCTCTCTGAAGCAGTTCTGAGGTGCTGTGTGTCTTCAGTTGTGCTGTCGTGGTTGCTTCAGGGTCCTCACTAGATTTAAAGCATGTACACCTCACGGTCACTTAGACTTGGGGAAGTCGTACAGCCCACACCAGGGGTGAGGTGGGTGAGGACACACTGCAGGGCTTCCGCAGCCTGCCTGTCCTGGCGGCACTCAGCAGCAGCGTTCCCTCTTTTTGGATCACACTTTGTAAGCACTCGCGAAGGAGGACTTCCCGCGCTGCTTCAGAAAGTGGCAAGATAAGTGTTCAAAGTAAGGGGCAGTATTTTGGGACTGATGGCCTTGTGTCTTTTTTTTCTTTTATTGTTTGAGACAGGGTCTCTCTGTGCAGGTCAGGCTGACCTTGAACTCTTTGTAGCCCAGGCTGGTCTGGAACTTAGAAGAATTCTCCTGCCTCAACGTCCCAGCTGTTCAGTGTCTTTTATTGTAATAATTGTTCAAAATTTAAGCATTCCTCATAAATTTCGATCACCCCAGTGTTTTCAGTCTGAGAAACTGGTTTTGTCACAGCTTCTTTAATCAGGAAACTGCTTACTTTTAACATGTAACAAATGCACTCAAATACCAGCAGCGTCAAAGGAGGGGTTCTGGGCGGAGGCCTGGTAGTAGACACGCTAAAAAGAGCTTTTTCTCTCACCGAGAGACCGTGGGTATCAGGTGACCCTGGAACTTTCTTCTTTGTTCCTGTCCTTAAATATGCTTTATTAAACATCCTGTATGTCTTCATGAAAGTACTACTAAGTTATCAATGTGTTATATCTTCTGGTACTTTGAGAATTAATAGGTCTAGCTCTGAAATGTTTAGCTGAGAGACCACTTGTTAGTACCCAAAAATTGTGATTGTGCTAAGAAAACAAGCCCTGAAATCACATGCTGGGAGGAAATTTGAGGAAGGCGTTAAAGACAGCAGTGTTAACGCAGTTGCTGTGTTAGAGACTTTAAAGTGGTGAGAGCCCGCGAGCCTTATGTCAGTGGAGTAGCTCAAGTTTAACAACCAGGACTTTCGGTGCGCTGTCAGATGGTGTGTGGCTGTGCCAGAGTGTACTGCACGCCCACAGTCTTGGTCCACGCTCCCTGTGCCTTCTGGAGCCTTCTAAGTCTGCTTTGGGGTTGCTTATCATTCTGTCTATCACACCCCCACCTGTTCAATAGTCAAATTCTTTAATAATTTGGGGTTTTCTTTTCTCTTGCTTTTTAAAAAAACTTAAGACTCAAGTGACTGGAGCTGTAGCTCAGTGGTAGTGTTTGCTTACTAGCATGCTGGGGTAAATTTCCAGCATACCAAAAATTAAAAATACTCAGGTGGACTACACCGGACGAAGTGCTTGTTTGTTTTTGGTGCAGGGTATTGAGCCTAACACCTCTTGTACGCTAAGCTAAGCGTGCTTCCTGCCACGGAGCTGTAGCCCTGGCCCTTGGCTTAGTCGCACTCCGTGTTTTGTGTGCACACTTAATCATTGGTGTTTGTTTATTTAAAGAGTTACTTAACTATTCTTCTACAATGCATTAGGCCCTAGCAAACAGACTACCCAAAACATGAACCTATGCCAGGCGTGGTGGCATACGCCTGCAATCCCAGTACTTGGGAGGCTGAGGCAGGAGTATTACCGTGCTTGAGGCCAGCTAGAACTACATAGCAAGACTCTGTCTCAAAAAATAAATAAATAAACCTGACTTTAGCAAGACTCTGTCTCAAAAAATAAATAAATAAACCTGACTTATAATACTCTACCTATAACCACTTGGTTCTTGTTTTTTTTTTTTAATTTTTTCATTTTATTTTTATAGCATGCAAATATTTTAGAATAAAATTCTCTTAAAGCTACAGTTATCATGCATAATTGCTGCTGGAGAACTGTAACTAAACTATCAGATACTGCCTGGTGTGGTGGCCCGTGCCTGTCAGCCCAGCACTCTTAGAGGCTGAGGCAGGAGGGTCCTGAGTTACAGCCCAGCCTGGACAACTTAGTAATATAGTAAAATCCTGTCTCAAAACAAAAATGACAAGGGTCTAAGGCTGTAGCTCAGTGCAGCAGTCCTGGGTTCAATCACCACACTGCCAAAAGAAGAAAAATAAAGATAT